AGAAGCAGAGATGCCAGGGGTGGAGACAGAGACGATGCCATGGACAGATGGAGCAGCTGGGGACACTGAACTCAGAAAGGGAGAGGGGCTGTGTTCTGATGGCCAGGGAGCAGGCCCATGGGGTGTACCCTTTGGTTGTTTGATGATGCATAGAGGGGATTGTAATCATTACAATGAAGCAAAATATGATAGGATGAATATAAAACTGATATTCTTCCATGTGAACCTCACAATAAAAACTTAAAAAAAAAAAAAAAATGCCAGGTAGCAACTGGATGTTCTTATGGGTAAATAAACGAATCTCTATTTTAAACTTATGCCAAATGCAAAATTAAATTGAAATTCTTCCTAGAGTTAAATGTTTAGACTAAAATTCTAAAACTTCTGGTTAAAAACAAAACAAAGAGACATGGGAGAAAAATGTGTTGTTGGAGTTGGTACAGATTTCCCAGATGAGACAGTAGGATATGTGTGGATATCAAGCACGATGAACCTCTTTTATCATTGTACTTTCCATAATTTATGGTTTAAAAAATTGGCATGGAGTCAATTCTGACTCACATGATCCCATATTTTCCAGAGTAGAACAGTGTACCAAAGGGTTTTCTATGACTGAGTTTTCATAAGTACATCAACAGGCCTTTCTTTCAAGCACCTCTGGGTGGACTGAAACCCCAATTTTTAGGTTAGCAGTGAAGCATGTTAACCTTTGCACCTCCCAGGATTCTATAGTTTGTAGAGTTTATAGAGTGATGTTATGGTATCTCTGTATCCAATCTGCATTTGCATTTCAACTATCTTTATAGAGATATTTCTTCCATTTGTTATTAGGTGAAATAATTAGGCAGATAATTTTATTCAGAATAAGCTTGTCAGATTCTTGCCTTAACCACTACAAAAGGAATGGATCCTTGTTTGGAATGAGAAATATATAGTAAAGTTCATAGTTGTCAAGGTCAATATTTACCTCCATTAAAATTTATTATTGCTGTTGTAGTTATGTGCCATTGAGTTGGTTCTGATTCATAGTGAGCTTGTGTATGGTGTCCGAGGAGCAGCTGGTGGGTTTGAACAGATGACTTTATGGTTCAATTCAACTTCGTGGTTGATCCTACATTATAACACCAGGACTCCTCCATTAAACTATGTATCTATATATTGGAGTCCTTATGTGCCACTGAGGGCTAATGCACTGGACTACTAAGTCTGTTTGAACTGCAAGGTTGGCGATTCAAATTCACCAGCTGCTCCTTAGAAACATACAGTGTCATGAGTTGGAACTGACTCAATGCCTCTTAAAGCAACAACAACAAGGGAAATATAGTATCTGCCTAGGTTTCCAAGGAAGTATCTCTTGATTCATTATAGTTACTTATTTATCTCTTCTTTCCTGAATCAGTCTGTTAAATTTTGTATGCTCTGGTAGTAAAGGGGTCAAGAACTCCTGTGCTAATCAGAAGTTCTACAGTTCAAATCCCCTGCCACTCTGCAGAAGAAAGATGTGGCAACTTGCTTCTGCAAAGTCTGCAGCCTTGGTAACACTAGGATACAGTTCTACTCTATCCTACAGGGTCACTCTAAGTTGGAAATGACTTAACAACAATGGGATTGGTCTTGGTTGGTTGGTTGGTAGGTTTGTTTGGTGTGCTGTTATCATAGGGCACCAATTTTGCTAATGCTGTTAATAACAGTTAAGAAGTATTTCTTAGACATCCTTGTTCTCTGCCTTTATTAATCCATCCTTCTATATCCAAGTTTTAAAGATATGCCATCTAAATTGCTCCTGGTAAATTGCCTCCAAAAGATTCTCCTTCATCTAACCAAAAGTCAGTAACCATCCCAACACTAGAGTGTCTAAAGATCCTTCCAACCCACTCTTCTTTGTATCGTAAAATATGTTAGTATATTGTGCCCATGATCTGAAGGACAATTGAATGAGGGCCACTCAGTCATAAGACAATAGTTGTTGTTGTTGTTAAGTGCCTTCGAGTCGGAGCCAACCCATAGCGACCCTGTATAGGGTTTCCGAGGGTGTAAATCCTTACAGGAGTAGAAAGCCTCATCTTTTTCCTGCAACAGTAGTAGGTTTCAAATGTAGAATGACAATCAAACTCACATGACACAATAGGCTTATCCAGAGTCAAGTTCTGTTTATTTTAAGAAAAAATTACTAAGGTGTTATAGAAGTCTTGAATACCCAGATACTGTTTCCAACATCCCAATTATGAATACAAACTGTTATCAGTACAGACTACATTAGCACAGGAAAGGTGCCTGGTCTAGGGTCTCTCAGCTTATGTTCCTTTATGTCATCTAGCACCTGAAAGGAAGTTTGCAGAACTTCCATTTTTAAAGCAGTTGCATTCCATACATAAAATATAGACTATACAATAAATAGTCATGACTGCTGGTTCACCATACTTGGAGATATTTTGAATCTGTAGTCAGTCCACATGAACCCCAGCAAAAATTTAATTTATCATGAATTGATTCATTTATTGAGATGGTATCACAGATTTTCTAGGCATCATTTTCTCAGGGAGTTTTTAAACAGGAGAAAGCTATTTAAACTTTTTTCCAAAATAATGTAATACAACAACTGGTATTTTATTTACTATAGTCCTATTAAAATCATGAATTGTACAATTATTAAGACAATTTCAAAATATAAAAAATATTAATACATGGTAGTTTCATAAGCCCTCCAAATAAAGAATGTGTTATGCATAGAAGAAATGAATTTCTTTATATTTACAAAAATAAAGTAAATACAACACAGCACTAGTAGATTATCAGAAAATAATTTTCTCAAAAAGAAAACAACATGTTGAGAAAATCTTACAGTGTTTGAAAATTAGTCACAAAAACTGACATTATTAAATAATCTGTAACAAAATAAACTGTGAGATAAATTTTTCAAAGTTTGTTAGTGACAACCTACAGGAATAATTCTTAAGAACCATGCAAAGTGAGAAAGTGAGTTTTTTCTAAAAATGAAATGAAAAATTCAAATGATAAGAGGAACTTTTCATATGCTTAAACTGTAGACAAATGATTTTAGCATATTGGTTGGAGTTATGGACATGGCAAAAGATTCTTGTTTCTGATCTAGGCTCCTTTTATCTGAATTTTCAGAACATTTAATAGGAATAATGCAATTTTAATAATGTTACATTTGATAGGAATAGTAATGCAGTAATAAGACCAATTTGGGAAAGTTATCTTTATTACATGCAAATTTATCCTGACACATTCCTTAATTTATTAATTATGGAATATCTGGCTACATGCAATATTCTTGATAAAAATAGGGTGTGGAATTATGTATATGCACTGTGATTGACTTTTTCATTATTATCTTCATGAAAATTTAAAGAGAAATTAGTTTTCCATTCAACAATTCTGACCAACTTTAGTGATATCTTTCAGAGAGGTAAACAGTGGTATGTTGTTGTTAAGTGCAGTCGAACTAGTTCCAAACCATAGAGACCCACTGATAGGGTTTCCAAGGAGTAGCTGGTGAACTGCCAACCTTGAAGTACAAACCAACCTTGCAGTCCAGCACATTACGCCACAGCGCCACACCAAGATTTTGATATGTTGTTGTTATTAAGTGCCATTGAGTCAATTCTGACCTATAGCAACCCTGTATAGGGTTTCCGATGAGCTTGAACCACCGACCTTGCAGTTCAAATGGGTTTGTAGTCTGGCGCATTAACCCACAGCACCACACCAGGGGTCCAGATTTTGATATAGGCACAATCTATTTCTTGTGGTCCTAGGGTCATGAAGGCTTGAGTTCAAGTGATCATTCAGTTCTTTGGACTAATTGTTTCCTTGAGTATTTCATTTTCTTCACTTTTCTTTGCTCCAACAGGAAGAGACCAGCTATGATTGATTTTGTTGTTCCACTAGTTAAATCATGCCAGTTTCCAGTTTCCTTCCTGAATACTACTCTTTTTTTTTTTCACTTTTTCCCAACTTTTATCAGTAAATAGTACATTTCTTCTCAGGAATCTATTTTGCCAAGAAGCAGTTTTATTTTCATGAATTGCCAGAGAAGGGGCAGTTTTACACTGCACATATGAGGTTGAGTTGTGTTGGATATGAGATAACAACAGTTAACAACAACAAATGGACAGGCAGAGAACAACAACAAAGTCTTATCAACATGCAAGGGCAAATTGCTGAGATAGGCTCATTTACGAGCTAAGAGACATAACCTTTTAACAAATGTCAATTAGAAGCATTTCTTAATAAAATTGTCAGTTACTACTTGCAATTTTGGAATTCTGTGGCAAATACATAACTTATAAAAGCTAAATAATGCTCAAATAATAAATGGAGGAAAACTACTTCCAATTCAGTTTATTATGGATGATGCTGTCAAACTTTCAAACCCATATCCAAGTAAATAGCATAAGACCCTGGGTTCCTCCTTACAGAGTTCTGGTGACAAGATGGTGTTGCAACTAATCTAAGGGCTCTTTTCAGCATTTAGAAAACAGTACAATAAAATTTGAAAACAGTCTGAAATAATTTATCTGTTCATTATTCTTCTCAAGGCACCTGTAACCTCTTTGTTTCTCAGGCTGTAAATAAAAGGATTCAGTAGGGGAATTATTATTGTGTAAAATAAAGAATACATTTTGTCCTGATTTTCACCTGGGCCAGACCCAGGACGCACATACATGAAGAAGAGAGTACCATAGAACAAAGAGACAGAGAGCAGATGGGCACTGCACGTGGAGAAGGCTTTGCTTCTGCCCTTTTCAGACTTCTTTTTCAGGATGGCAAAGAGGACACAGGTATAAGAGACTATGATTGTCATAAAAGTAAAGATTTGTATGAGGGCTGAAGCAATTAAAACCAGTAGTATATTCATTGTAGGATCAGTGCAAGAAATTTTGAACAGTTGTAAAATTTCACAGTAGAAATATTGTATTATATTGGATCTGCAGAAAGTTAATCTAAATAACAAAGTTATATGAATCATGGAATGTAGAAAACTTATAACATATGAAACACCTATTAGTTGAATGCAGAGGCTTTTAGACATCACCATCTGATAAAGTAATGGGTTGCATATGGCGACATAGCGGTCATAGGCCATCACTACCAGGAGGAAACATTCTGTGGTTGCACTAGAACTAAAAAAATAAAATTGGGCCATACAGTCATAGATTGATATCATGTGATTGTTGGATAAAAAATTCATAAGCATCTTAGGAGTCACAGAGGATGAAGTGCAAGCATCAGCAAAGGCTAAACTGCCGAGGAATAAGTACATGGGCGTGTGAAGATGCGGGTCCTTCCAGATGAGAGCAATCAGCCCAAGGTTCCCCAGCATGGTGATGAGGTAGATCACCAGGAACACCAGGAACAAGGGGAGCTGCAGTTCTGCACGATCTGTAAGTCCCATGAGCACAAACTCTGTCACCAGAGTCTCATTTTCTTTTACATATTCACTCCATCGAATCACTGAAAAATCAATGAGAAATCTTTTTAAACGGTGATATTTTCATAGCGAACATATTTCTGGGATGTTTCTCATTTGAATCACTCTTAATTTTTAATTTCATTCGTTTACTTTACAAATAGGAGCTCTGCTATCACAGTGGGTTACAAGTTGTGCTACTATCCACAAGGTAAGCAATTAGAATCTACCAGCCTTCCAAGAGAGAAAAATAAGGCTTTCTGTTCCTATAAAGATTTAGAAGCCTGAAGAACCCTGTATAGGGTCATTATGAGTCAGAATGGACTCCAACGTACATAATGACCACCAATTTACATATATGCAAAATTGTCCATAATTTTAAAAACTTTAATGCTAGTACACCTAAAGTGACACATAAATTTAATGCAGATGATTTTCAATTTAATTGGGTAATTTAGAACAACATACCTTTATCTTAAATTCACATGGAAGAAAAAAAAATGTTTGAAAAAACCAAGAATAATGTAATAGTAAGAATGATCAAGAGTATCTTAATTGATACTGAACAATAATATAAAACCACAGTAATGAAAACATTGGGGAGTGTGGTGGCCCCGTACAACAGATGATGAACGGCGAACTACTAGGTCTGGGATTAAACCCCCCAGTCACTCTGCAGTTATAGCAGCCAGCCACTCAGATGGAGAAAGATGAGGGCTTTCTGCAACTGTAAAACATAAACTCTCACAAACCATAAAATGGGTCGCTATGAGTGGGAATGGATTCAACACACTTAAAAATAACAACAATGAAAACACGAAGATAGTGACATGAGATTAGACAAGAGGAACAGTGCAATAAAAGAGAAAAGTTAGAAAATAATTATAGCATATATGGAAATGTGGCATAAAACAAATGCTATAATTCAATAAAAAGGGTGGTTGGTGCAATGCATAATGCTGACTCTGCTTGCTGTGTTTCAAAGTAAATCAGTTTGGTTCACCATTTTGCAGCAGAGATGCTTTCCAAGTTTTAGGAGACAATAAGGACTCCTGGCGTGGTATTGTGGATTAGTACTGGACTTAAAACCACAAGGTTGGCAGTTCAAACCCACCAGCTGCTTTTTGGAAACCCTATACAGGGTCACTATTAGTCGGAACCTACTCCACAGCACTTAACAACAACAATAACAAGGTAACATAGTAATCCTGGTGTGGTGCTGTATGATAAAGTCAGTATGAACCACAAGACCAGTGGTTCAAATCCACCAGCTTCTATTAGGAAACCCTATACAAGGTAGCTATGAGTCAGAACCAACTCGATGGCACTTAATAACAATAAGGTAACATAGGAATCAAAGAAACTCTTAACTAAGAGAAGAAAGCCAGTAATAAAGACATGGTTACTCTCCTATCTTGATGTATAGCTAAAGAGCATCTCAAAATAGTCACAGGACATAATAAATTGTTGTTGTTGTTAAGTGACCTTGAGTCAATTATGACTCTTAGAAATACTATATAGGATTTCCTAGGAGAGACTGGTGAGTTTTAACACAGATCTTGTGGGTAGCAGCCCAGTGCTTATCTTTCAGCACCACATCAGGACTCCTATGATAGGTTAGGAAATATATTTTATCATATATATGAAAAATATAGGCTAATACATATGACATAAAAATAAATTTAAAATAGATCAAAATGAATAAAGGATAGGAATAGACATGTTCACTGATCAGCAAATCTAAACGGCCAATAATACATAAAAAGATGCTCAAATTTCTATAATATAATATGATATGCCAGATACACATTTGCACATACACACACATACCACAGCAGATTGCCTGAAATTAGAATAAATAAAAATTTCTCTGAGGTCAGAAGCATTGTACTTTCATGTATTACTCACAGAAATATAAATTGCAACAGCCATATTGTAAAACAATTTCATATAAACACGTGAAATTTTTTAAAAGATGGTATATGCTTTGATCTACTACTTTTACGTTGATAGTTACCACAGAAATAAAAGTACCACTTCACAAATATAAACATACTAGTAACAGCCAAAGTAACAGTTTTCAAAGTGGCAAAGCCCAAACATATCAACAATAAAAGAGCTGAATAAATCGTAATATATTCATATTAAGGAATATAATTCAGTCATGAAAAAAGACCTATGCATGATAATATATTATCACAATATTATCAAACAGACAATGAATTTTTAAATTATTTTATGTGGAGAAAAATGTTGATAATAGACAGTTTATAATACTAGTTTTTTGGAATATAATAGTAGTTTTCTGGAATGGATTGAGGATGTAATGGGAAAAGAGGAGGAGGAAAAAGGGATACGTTAAAATGAAAGTTCTACAGGTACGGGGAGCGTATATATTATGACCAATATCTTTTATGCAAAATTGTGTAGCCAATTTATGTGTGTGTATATAACAAATTGTTGGTAACTTGTTGATAGTGAAGAAAAGAAAAAAGAACAATTAATTCTGATTATTGCATTTTAAGGAGGTGCTTTGACACTTAGAAACTCAATGTAAAATTAAAATTTTACTATCTGTAACTGCTCTGCTTAAATATCACTTAAATGCAGAAATTGTTGTTATTAAATGCCAAACCCTGTATAGGGTTTCCAAGGAGTAGCTGGTGAATTTAAATGACCAACCTGTGGTCCAAACGATGTTGAGGGCCAGTACAGTATTCTGCTGGGCCAAATTTAACATGTTCTTTTAAAAATAATACCAGTGATAGTAAGTAGTACTGTTGTGTTGCTGTGGATTAATGTGCTGGACTGCAAAGTCGGTTTGCTCCGTCAGATTGGAGGTTCAAGCTTACCAGCCGCTCCTTGGGAACCATTTACAGGGTCGCTGTGAGTCGGAACTGACTCAACGGCACTTAATAGTAAACCTCTGGCCATTCAGAGTAGATGTGATTTTTTTTTTTTTTTAAATACTGAACAGATACCTGTAATAGCATAAGATCAGCAGTTCCAAACTACCAGCTGTCCAGTGAGAGAACGATGAGACTTTCTGCTCCCGTAAAGATATACAGCCTTGGAAACCTTACACAGGGTCATTATTAGTCAGAACTGACTCCATGGCACATAACCAACTGAATGGTATAAGGTAGGGATTAAAAAAGATAACAGGTTCTTTCTGTATTTTAAATTTACTCCTACACACTTATTGTTGTTGGTGTTAAATGCCATCAAGCTGGTTCATAGCAAATCTATACACGGTTTCCTAGGTGCAGCTGGTGGGTTTCAACTGTCAACCTTGTGGTTTGCAGTCTGATGTCAATCCTACAGCACTACATCAAGAATCCACATACACATGTTGTAGTTCTGTTTCAATATAGCATTTAGAATTTATGTGAATAAATTAGAATTATTTGTTTCATGATATATTAATATTCTTTGAAAAAAACTTTAAAAAGGAGTTTACTACTGAAAGCATATGAAGTCCTGGTGTGGCACTGTGGATTAATGCAAGGGACTGCAAAGTCAGTTTGAACTGCAAGATCTGCAGTTCAAGCTCACCAGCTGCTCCTCAGATCCTAAACAGGTTTGCTATCGGTTGGAATGACTTGCATGCACTTACTAACAACTACAAAGATTAGTTATGAAAATTGAAATGGTGTTGGAAAAACATTTCAATGCTTTGATGTTCACAATGCTCAATACTTCAGTAACATAAAAATGTTTATGACAACAATATATTAGTAAAACTATGTTTATCTCATTTTAAATATGAATGACTGTCATAAGGAAGAAATTGTGAGGTGCTGGCACAATTAACACTGGACTGCAAACCACAAGATCATCAGTTCAAACTCACCAGTCATTCCTGGAAAACACTATGAAGGGTCACTATGAGTTGTAAACGACTCAACACACTTAACAACAGAAACAATAGTCTATCTTCACTGAAAATAAGTGAATAATTAACAGGTTCCAAAATTTTGCTTTAATATTTAGAAACAGGGAATCCTAGCACGTATAACACAATCACAATATGAACACAAAAAAAGAACAGTAAGAGATTTTGCCCTGGATAAACTAGCCCAGCTTTCCTTGTAACATCAAATAACCAAATCATTGATAATCTTAGTTTTAGAACACACAGCGTATAATTTAATCAAAAGTTAGAAAGTTTGTTCATTTTCTTTCAAGAATTATGTATTAGATAACACAAAGAAGCTAATTAAGTTGCCTTCAGTGACTTTAACCCTTATTTTTAATGATTCCATAAAATTAAATATTTTATTGCAATCAATCATAAACTTTAAATAATCACAATTTGTCACACTCTGAAAACTCGAAAGTCAGATTTTAACTCCCATAGCTTAATAGTAAACAATGAATACATTCACATAATAAAATAAACTTAGAAAAAGTTCAATCATGATTATCATTATTACTTCATTTTTCTATTAGTCAAAGTTTATTATTTAAAAACAACCCAATAAATTGGTTACCCTCACAGCAAAAATTCTTACTGAAAGCCTTTGTTCAATAAGGCATTTATTTCTATGTGGCATTGTGGGTTAATGCACTGGACTGCAAAGTCTGTTTGAACCACAAGGTCGACAGTTCAAGCTCCTTGGAAGTCCTATACAGGGTCACTATGAGTCAGAACCTACTTGACAGCACTTAACAACAACAACATGCATAGTTTGTTTACTGATTAAAACAAATTAAAATTTACTTAGACAAATTGTACCATATAGACAAGTAGCAAAACTATCATAATTTAAATATCAGCAATCTCACCCAGTTTCTGTAAAATATTGGGAAACTAAAAATTTGCACATTTTCTCACAGTAACGAAAGGTACATAAATGAGATAGTATTACTTGTGCACTGATTTGCTTGGAAACTCCAAATTGGAACAAGATAGCATTTTTTCTTCTGCTTTCAAACCCATTCTTTAAAATTTTTTGAAATTCCCTCAGTGATGTTAAAGGATTCCCAATAGAATGAAGTCAAAGTTGTTCTACTGGGCATTATAAGCTAATCATGAAATCACCCAAACACAATTAGTTGAAACAATTAAAACTACATTATGTCCTCAGGGTTCACTGTAGGGGCATATTTATAAAACACCACTTAGCAGGGTTAGGGGAACACTGGTGTCTCTGTATGATAATCATTGGACTTCGAACCACAAGGTTGTTGGTTCAAGAGTCAAGAGTCAAGATTGGGAATCGGCTTGATGACACTTAACACCAACAAGTAGAGTTAGAATAAATATATTGTTCTTCCTCATATCTCTGTTATGGTATCACTACCCAACTGTCTACTTGGTGTGTCTGTTTGAAATCAGACAAAAATATTTTTTAATTCACATGTCGAAAATCTGAAATTCAGAATTTCCCCTAACATACTTCCAAATTTAGCATACTTCCAAACTTGGATTTCTAACATTGTCCCTTGTCTCAAGGATTAGAGTCAGCAAGCAAGTAGCTGTGCAAGCCATAAACTGGGAAGACAGCATTGACACTAACCTCTCCCTCGGGCCTACTATTTCAATCATTGCCAAATTATCTATATTTCATCTGATAAGCATGTCTTAAACACAACGATTCTCTATGCAACAGTTTCTCATTACCTCCAACTAACCTCCCAAATCCAAGATACGTTCATCTCTAGTCTGCATCTTCTAACATACTCCACCAATCTTTTCTTCACATTAAGGTCAGACTGAGTGTGATAAAATGTACACCAGTTCATCATCCTCTAACATATACATACTCATCACTTAAATTTATAAAATGCATATTACTGCAACAGGATTGGTTGGTTGGTTATGTGCCGTGGAGTTGGTTCCGACTCATAGCAATCCTGTACAGGGTTTACGAGGTTGTAAATCTTTATGGGAGCAGAAAGCCTCATCTTTCTACTGCAGAACACCTGGTAATTTTGAACTGCTGACCTGGAGGTTAGCAGCCCAACTCGTAACTACTTCTTAAGCTTAAATATCCATGCCAGATCCATAAACAGAAAAACAAACCAAGGCTTTGAACCAGCTTACATCAAGTCAATCATATCCTGTGAAGTGAAATTGAAATGGACAAAATGTTTTTTTAATTTGGGTGAAATGAACAATAATCAGAATGGAAAAAATAAAAAAATAACCGGTTGAAGTCCTAGAATGGAAGACTTGGAAGAGGCATAGTGAGCCTTTTCAGGAGTCTTGTACAGGAGACTGGATTATTGTCAGGACTGTGAAGAGTGTGTGTGGTTGGATGCCATCTTTAAGAAGGACTCCACCATTTCTGACTCTGCATTTCAAGAGATTTGGTTGCTATGTAACCTGCATGCTGTTCTGGTTTTCTAAGAAGTTTAATTTTCTAATAGGGCTTCAGTCCAATTTTTCCTATTCTGGTTACCATTCAATTTCAGTCAGATTTTCACAAATTCTAGTCTATTACAGTTTCACTTCAACTATCATGACTGAAGAACGACTTTGAAGCTCTAAAACAAACTTAGTATTAAATTGTACACAGTTGGGCATTTATTTTGCATTATATATCATTTATAATAACACTTGCTGCTGTTGTTTTTAGGTATCATTTCTTTTTGTTAGGTTGCACTGAGTGGATTTCAACTCACAGTGACCACAAATGACTGTTTCATTGGGATTTCTTGGTTGTACTCTATGATAGCAGGTCTCCAGGTCTTCCTCCTACAGAGTCACTATGTGTGTTCAAACTACTAGCCTTTCCATTAGCAGCTAAATGGTGAATTGTCTGCACCACTAGGTTCCTACAATAGCATTGTTCTTGTTGTTGTTAAGTGCCGTCGACCCATAGCAACCCTGTACAGAGTTTCCAAGGAGAAGCTGGTGAGCTTGAACCACTGATGTTGCAGTTCAAATGACTTTGCAGTCTGACGCATTAGCCCACAGTGCCACACCAGGACTCCAAAATCACAGTGGCCTAACACAATGGAAATTTGTGCCTCTTCATGTAAAATGTAAAATATGTTCGTAATTGAAAACAATTCTACATTGATTAGTGCTTCAGAGTACCACACTCTCCATCTTGTCACTTAGTCATTTTTCACACATGATTTTCTTCAATATTCACTGTTTTCATGTACATCAAAATGGAATGAGAAACTTCACAGAGGACCCTAAATATGCATTGTATATGAGCCAGAACTGTAAATGATGTGTATTGCTTTTGCTCCTAAACTTGCTCATCTCGCCACAGTTAACTGAAAGGGGAGGCTATGTGTAAAGGAAGAAAAGAAAATGGATTTGGTTACTAGCTAACAATTTTTCCTACTGTATGTTGTTGTGTTAAGTGCCATCGAGTCGGTTCCAACCCATAGCGACACTGTACAGGGTTTCCGAGGGTGTAAATCTTTACGGGAATAGAAAGCCTCATCTTTCTCCCTCGGAGCAGCTGGTAGTTTCGAACCACTGACCTTAAGGTTCACAGCCCGAATCGTAACCACTACGTTTTCTGCACGATCTGTAAGTCCCATGTGCACAAACTCTGTCACCAGAGTCTCATTTTCTTTTTCCATACCCACTGTGTCTAATCATTGAAATGAAAGATCAATAAGAAAATTTTTTAAATGTTAAATATCTTCATGATGAACATATTCTGAGATATTTCTTATTTGATTCATTCTAATTTCCTTAATTTTCATTTGCCTACTCCTTGGAAACCCTATACAGGGTCGCTACCAGTCGGAATTGATTCAACAGCACTTAACAACAACAACAACAAACTTTACATATAGGAGCTATGGTATCATAGTGGGTTCAAGTTGTACTGCTAAACACAAAGTCAGCAGTTCCAATCTACCAACCACTCCATGGGAGAAAAATGAGACTTCCTACTCTGTTAAAGACTTACAAGCCTTGGAAACTCTATTCAGGGCTACTATGTATCAGAACCCTCTTCATAGCTCATAACCACTTCTGCTCCCGTAAAGATTTCCAGCCTCAGAAACCCTATACAGGATCACTGAGTCGAAACCTACTCCATGGTACATAACCACCACCACTTTACATATATGCAAAATTATCAATAATAAAAAAAAATTTTAATGCTAATTCACCTAAAGTGACACAAATTTAATGCAAATGATTTTCAATTTAACAGGGCAATTTAGAACAAGATACCCTTATCTTAAATACACATGAAAGAAAAAAATGTTTGAAAAGACCAACAAAAATGCAAATAGTAAGCATAGTCAAGAATACTCTAATTGATACTGAACAACCATATAAAATCAAAGTAATGAAATAATTGGCTAGTGTGGTGGCTCCATATGATAAGCACTGGGCTTCTAACAAGATCTGGTTTGAGCCTGCCACTCACTCCACAGTTGGAGCCACCAACCACTCTGCAGAAGAAAGCAGAGGCTCTCTGCTCCTGTAAAGATTTGAAGTCTCACAAACCCTAAACAGCATCTCTTTGAGTCTGAACTGATTCAATGGTACTTAAAAACAACAATGAAAACATTAAGATAGTGACATGAGGTTAGACAAGAGAATTAGTGCAATGGAACAGGGAAGTTAAAATTGATTATAGTATATATGGAAATGTGGCATAAAACAAATATGATATTTTAATTCAATAAGAAGGGTGCTTGATATAATGTGAAATTCTTGCACTGTTTGCTATCTGTTTTAAAGTATACCAGTTTGGTCCACAATCTCCCACCAGAGTTATTTTCCAAAATATTTAGGAGACAGGAAGGTAACACAGGAAACCTGGTATGATGCTATAGGATAAAGCACTGGACTACAAGTTCAGTTTGAACCACAAGGTCAGTGGTCCATACCCATCAACCAGTCCTCAAAATCCCTATAAAAGGTCGCTATGAGTCAAAACTGACTAGACAGCACTTCACAACAACAAGAACAAGGTTATTGTTGTTGTTGTTGTCAGGTGCCATCGAGTTGGAACCGACTCATAGCAACCCCATGCATAGCAGAACGAAACAATGTCCGAACCTGGGCCAACCTCACTACCGCTGCCACACTTGGCGCCATCAATGATGCCACCTGGCCAATCCATCTCATTAGGGGTCTTCCTCTTTTTCTCTGACCCTCTATCTTACCCAGCATGACATCCTTCTCCAGCGACTGTTCCCTCCGGACAGTATGTCCAAAGTATGAGAGATGGAGCTTAGCCATCCTGGCCTCCAAGAAGCACTCTGGCTGCACCTCTTCCAAAACATATCTATTGGTTCTTTTGGCAGTCCATGGCACTTTCAGTATTCTCCTCCAACTCAAAGGCATCAATTCTTCTACGATCTTCCTTATTCACTGTCCAGCTTTCACATCCATACGAGGTTATTGAAAATACCATGGTTTGGGTCAGACACACCTTAGTCCTCAAGCTGACATCTTTGCTCTTCAACACTTTAAAAAGTTCCTGTGCAGCAGATTTGCCCAATGCAATATGTCGTCTGATCTCTTGACTACTGCTTCCATGATTGTTGAACAAGGTAATAGGAATTAAAGAAACCCTTAAGCAGAGAAGAAAGCCAATATAAAAACATGGTCCACTCTAATTTTAATGTTTAAAATTTAATGTTAGAGCACCTAAGCATAGTCACAGGACATATAATAATTGTTGTTGTTGTTGCTATTGTTACTTAACAACGACAGTCGGTTCTGACTCTTAGTGACCCTGGATAAGATTCCCGAGAAGCAGCAGTTGGGTTTGTACCACTGATCTTTGTAACCACTGTGGTTAGCGGGCCAGTGCTTATCTTATAGAACCTCATCAGGACTTCTAAAATAGGTTAGGAAATGTATTCAATCATGTAGATGAAAAGTATAGGCTAATATGTATAATAAAAAAAAGTTAAAAATGGATTAAAATGAGTAAAGGATATGAATAAACATGTTTACTGATGAGCAAATTTAAATGGCCAACCATAAATGAAAATATGCCAGATACCCATTTGCACACACACACACACACACACACACACACACACATACAAACATCTCCCTTCTCATGTATCAGGTTGCTAGAAATTAGAATGAATAAAAATTTCTCTAAGGTGAGAAGGTTTGTACGTTCATATATTACTGATGGAAATATAAATTGCAATAGCCATATTGAAAAATATTTTTTATAATCACATTAAATTTTTTAAAAGATAATATGTGCTTTGATCTAGTACTTCCATTTTGATAGTTACCACAGAAATAAAAGGATCACTTCACTAAAATAAATATACAAGTAATAGCCAAAGCACTCTTGTTCAAGGTGGCAAATCCCAAACACATCAAAATAAAAGAGTGAATAAATCACAATATATTCATATTAAGGAATATAATTCAGTCATAAAAAGACACACACACACACATATATATATGGAGCTCTGGTAGCGTAGTGGCTACGAATCGGGCTGCAAACCTTAAGGTCAGCGGTTCGAAACTACCAGCCGCTCCGTGGGAGAAAGATGAGGCTTTCTACTCCCGTAAAGATTTACACCCTCGGAAACCCTGTACAGGGTCGCTATGGGTCAGACTCGACTCGATGGCACTTAACAACAACAACTATATATATATATATAACTAAATATGATGACAATATTGTCAAAAAGCAATGAATTGTAAATCTCTTTTATGTGGAGGAAAATATTGTTAATAAACTATTTATAATACTAGTTTTTCTG